TACCTGGCTGTGTGCTTCAAAAAGGGGGGGGGTGTGTCTTCTTGAACATAGCACCTTAGCCATAACGTTTGAACGGTAAGTGCTAGGGCTTTCGTATTTCAAATATGTAATCCTTGTGAAAAGAACTTTTATTGGATACGACGAACTTTGACCCTTTGACCTAGACCTTGAAAAACACATGTGTACATCTTCATCTTTTTTTTGTTTCGTTTCTATGGCAACTGTGAGCGACTCATTACAATTATTTTAAAAGTAGAAATCACTTTGATGTTTCATGACGAACGTTTAAGGGACCAGAGAGAACACTCTCGGACAAAAATTGTCGGCTTTTACAGGTTTCCATGGCAACGGTAGACATATTGGAACTGAACGACCTCACTGCACAACTACAACCAGTGATCGTCCTTTGAGGAAAGTTTCACGAAGATTGTCTTAGCCATCTCCGAGAAACAGCCTGGATAAAAAAAACACATGCATGCGTACAATATCAATATGTCGTCCCCGACTTCGTTCGGGGCGACATAATAAACAGATGTCAATTAAGGAATTTTAAACTGTCCAATCTCTGAGTGACTATGTCTCAGGTGGGATTTAGGCTGTGCGGAATATATACAATTGATCACAATTGCCGAAATATAAGAACAGTTTTGACAATAATTTACTCAAAGTCCGAATAATTAATTTACACTGTAATTTAAAATAAGTCCAAAATTGTTGTATTTTACACCGTAACATTTTGCCAACGCCTGCCGTCGCACGGGATTTACGTTTTTTTTAGGCCATATCCGATAGGCCCGTGATTATGATTTCTAATGCTGAGCCCTTGGAGATGTAAATATTTAAATATTCGAACTAAAATTTCATAAAGAAAACTTGACTTCTGTACACTCTTGTCCAGTTATATAACATCTTGTTTAAGAACACATAATCAAATAAATGTAACAAATCAAACACCGATATACTGAAACTTGTATCATGACCTAGAATTTATTCATAGATAAATATCTATTTTATCATTTATTAAATTTCATTGGATGAAGCATTTCAGTTAAGGTATTCAATGTATAACGACCATATTTTGTACCTAATAAATGAACGGTCCAATATTTTTAGTCATGGTAGCAATTTGAAGATATTATCAAATGAAAATGCTCCACCAAAGGAATTTACAAAATTTTGATTGTCCAATTAATATCACTTTGAATTTTACATTGAAGTCTATGGGCAGTGCATGTTTTTATAAGATATTGTAAAAAAGTAATTTGAATTTCAAAGAAATCTCTTGGTGAAAATATGCATAAACTCCCTCTTTATTAAAATATAAAATAAAAAAAATTATTTACCGCAGAAATTTTGTGAAATCAATTTTTTTTTCTTTTCATCAAGGGCAGATAACTCTTCAAAAACTGTAAATGTGCAAAATGACCGTCTCCTTACATGTTATAAGTCTTGTGAATTTGGTTTATTTCACTTTTATTGTTTTCTAGCTGTGTGCTTTTAACTAGTTTAAAATTATTTAAAATCAGTCAAAATCCCTTCGTTATACATTGAATACCTTAATCGGGATACACATTTATTTAATTGTAAATATATAGATTACGGGTACAGAGTTCATTAAATTAGTAGATCAGTATAAAACCGAGTACGGTAAATTACAACGGCTTTAGTTTACCGTAAAATCAAAGTTTTAATTTCTTCATGATGATTTCACTCTCATGGTGATTAAACTGTTTTGTTCCGCCTTCAATATTGTTTGCATAGCAAAAAATATAAATGTTTATATATATCTTTGAAATCGTTCACTTTTTAGAATATCTTCTAGTCTCATAGAAAGAGCACATGTCATCAGTAAGGTGGATATGGACAGCAGGAAGTATTACAGTGTAATAACAGAATAAACAAGATGTGTTTGTGAAACACTATGCGCCCGGTGGCAACAAAGTTCAAAAAATCTATTTTAAGCATGTTGGTCACAGTGAAAGTCACAAGGTCATTGACCATGGTGTCATTTGAAAGAACTTAATCAGTGGAGTAAGCATCCCAAATATGAAGTCCCTATCTCCTATGGTTCAAAAGTTATGACAAACAGTGGAAAAAGCTATTTTAGCATATAAGCCACAGTCAAGGTCAAAAGATTACTGACCTTGTCGTCGTTTGAAAGGACTTTATTAGTGGAGTATGCATACCAAATATGAAGTCCCTATCTCCTATGGTCCCTATCTCCTAAGTTATGACAAACAGTGGAAAAGCTATTTTTAGCAGATAGGTCACAATGTCACAAGATCATTGATTTGATTTGAACATATTTTATTATGTAAAATACATAATTGGATTGGGCAGCAGGCATAGCCTATATAAGCCTTCTCCATTAAAAAAGATATTTGACCATGGTGTCATTTGAAAGAACTTAATCAGTGGAGTATGCATCCCAAATATGAAGTCCCTATCTCCTATGGTTCAAAAGTTATGACAAACAGTGGAAAAAAACTATTTTTTGCATATAGGTCACAGTCAAGGTAACAAGTTCATCTCGGCTATGTTAAGGAAGGTCAGAGTTCACATTCCTTGTACATCGTATTGGAAGTTTAATTGTGACGTCATTGAAATTTAACAAGCTACAAAAATTAATTAACGATATAATCATGCGTAAATAACAACTTGAATTTATTTATTTTATGGATTATTCATAAAATCTTGTAAAATTGCAATACTTGATAGCGATACAGTTGAGTAATAGAAGAAAGCCTTTTGTAAAATATGACGTCGTCAGCATTGACATGACGCAGCACAAGTGATCCGGAGGAGTAAATTCACTGGTTTTATAATTACAAGAATGCTTAAATAAATATGATACCATTGCTAATTTTTAGACCTAATCATTAAAACTAAAAGAAAATGATTTATTAAATACAATATTCATAGAATATGTATTTATCTAGTCGCATTTAAGCTGCACAGGGATAAGGAATATAGAGAATATTGCTAAAACGATGAGCGTATTCGTGATATACATCAAAAGTGCAAGGGCATAGACTTTTTTGTTTGAGCTGAAATTTGGAATTTTATTGCTCATATAGTGTATATTTTGAAAAGTTGATCCTGGTCTGCATAACATTAATTTTATTTATAACAGAATTTAAGCGAAGTGGAAATTTTTAGCTATTATAAGCATTTTCGGCAAAATTTTAAGTACTTCGCAAACAGCACTGACTAGCTCCCAGCACTTTTTGGGAAGGGGATATACACCTCTTTTAATGTGTATCAATTATTTTCTTGAAAAACAAGCGTATGCCCTTGCACTATCAACATTTCCTACATTCAGCTTAACAATTCTATTTTTATACAAGTCACGTGACAAACAGCTGATACGTGCGATATACGTGCGATATAACTGGTAATAACTATGGCCCAGTCGTATCCATTATTGATAGCTATATTACCTTTTCTACAAGTATTCATGGTTGCTTAGTTAAAATTTTTAAAAATAAGCAATACATATTAAAACGGTGCAAAGGTCACATTTTCCATATCGGTCCTTAACATAGCTGAGATTGACCTTGTTGTTGTTGAAAGGACTTTATTAGTGGAGTATGCAGACCAAATATGAAGTCTCTATCTCTTATTGTTCAAAAGTTATGGCCAAGGTTAAAGTTGACAACAGACAGACAGACAAACAGATAAACAGACACACAGGACAAAAACAATATACCCCCGAAATCTATCGATCCGGGCGCATAAAAATATATCATATATTTTGCTTATTGCATCGAATAAAACATTTTGTAACTTAAATGTCACGAGTGACAGAATTTCTTTTGGTGGACAATTTGTCCGTCTTTAAAGGGATTGAATCTCATGTCTCTTCTAGGTGATAGATTATAAGAATGGCTTGCCAGTTCAATTTACATATATCGTATGAATATCTCTTTCCCTTCCTTTCTTAACATGTTTATATATAAGCATTACATTTGCAGCACAACGTTAATTATTTATGCACCATAAAATGAATGATGTTTAAGTGGCAAAATTCAAACAATACCGTATATGTGGAGATTTTAGCGAGAGGCAAATTTAGCAATTTGTCCTTAAAATCTGGTATTTAATTTTTAGCGAGTAGTTGTTTTTGCGTTTTTAAAATGCTTAACTATTAAGCAATTAAAAATAAAATGCAATTAATATTTATCGATAATTAATTTTAGCGATCTTAGCACCCTCGCTTATAATGCCAAAATTAAATCTTCGCTAAAAATTCTGCTTATACGGTAGTATCATAAGATTTTAAAAGATAGAGATGTCATCAAACTTTTTCAAACGTTCTCTGAAATAGGAAATTACCTTTTTCAAACCTTTAAAGAATTAGGAGCAGGACAAACTCAAACCTCTCACAATATCAGAAATGATATCAGATGCAATGGAGTATACACCTTTTTCTACCAGTCATATCTTCCATATGCTCTTTATCATAATGGAAGAAACGGAATATTCAGTGAAAATAATGCAAGAGTTTCTTCCAGTGATTGGTTTTACTAATAAAATATCTGCTTAGATCTCTGAAGGCACAGTGCTATGATCAAATGTATTGGAAAGAAAAATGATAATATTCCTGTATTTGAAGTTTCATTCTGATGTAGTATGCTGATTGTATGAAAAATATAATTATCTGATTTTAAATACATTTTCTAAATCATAATACATGCAACATTTTAAAAAAATTATACATTTACAGTCAAACTTTGTTATCTCAAACTTGACAGGACTTGGAAAAGCTTCAAAATATCAAAGGATTCAAGATAAAACAGCATTTCAATGGTTATTGCATTCACTTGAATTTAAACTAGGACAGTTTACAATTTTTTAAAAAAATTTATGATAATTAAAATGTTAATTGTTCTATTCCAGTTACTCTACATTTTTGCAAATTTTTCTAGCTATCAATTTTTCTTCTTTTATAAATGAATTTTCTTAAATTCATTAGTAAATACTAAAATAAATAGGCACATTGCAGACTTACATAACAGAAGGTTGTACTGGGTACAAAAGATATTTTTTAACTGTGACTTAGGGATAAATCACATGCCTGCACAAAACTACTTGCTTAACCAATAGCATGATACTTTGAAAGAATTAAAAACATGGAATGAACAAAACAAGTACATAATCAGCATTACATTATTTACTTTTTGTACCATAACTATAATTTGCATATACACTACTTCTAAACACAACACCTTCAAATTATATCCTGAAGATCTGATGTTACCCCACGATTTAAAGGATTTTCCTCTGTAACATAGCAAGTTTGATGAACGCCTCTATGATAAATTCTCTATCCTGGGTTTTCAAATAGTCATATGGTTTTGAAACTTTCAACGTTGGCTGATCTCCACTTCTGTGCTTCACATGACCTTCTACAATGTCATTGTATTGTTCCACACTCATTTCCAGCACAGTAAACGTCACCTACAAAGTGACCAAATATAAAAATCAGCATCATAAAGAACAATGCATGGTAAATTTGCTTTGATAAATCTTAACATATTTAAGAGTAAAATAAAAATCAATAATGATCATCTCAGTAAGATATTTCTTGAGAAAAACATAGGTAATCACAGATTACAAAGCGCACCGAGACAAGGCATCACCTTTATGAGGCATCACCTTTATGAAACCACCTTTATCATATTATATGAAAATCACACTTTGTGATCTTGGATATTCATGGATACTGTTTTGACACAATAACGTATATCATCTGTTAAAACATTGTATGATATTCATGTGTTCATTTCATACAGTATTATAAGATACAATTTTTATCAATACAATAATATAAAATATGATATTGCATCATATGATACAATAAAATACTAATTAATAATATAAATACAATATTGCATCCTATCATATCAACAATATGTATCATATAAATTAATACAATAAAATACCGCAATAAATAATAATGCAATACGATATTGTAACATAATATGATATTGTATCATGTTATACATTATTGTATTTGATCACATAATACAATATCATAATATATTATAAATGATACGATGTAGTATTATACAATATCATATCACTTAATAGATCACAATATTGTAACATACAGGGGTGTCTCTAAAAATTGAAGTAGAAGGAGGAAGTGAAAAAGTAGAAGGGGGGTCTGGGGGTCTTGCTTTTTGCTACATTATGTTTAAAATGCACAAATAGCCGGGTAATTAAGGCATCATAGGCGGGGGAATTCCCCACCTCCCGGGTCGTAGATACAACCCTGAACATTTGATATGATATTGTATAATATAGTATGATATTCTATTGTATGATACTGTATCATATTTGATACATAATATGATATGCATCATATGATACAATATCACGTAATATAGTAAAATATTATACAAATATTGACTGGGGTTGATTATATTAGCCCCAGAGGGACGAAATATTGCCTGACGCAAAGCGGAGGGCAATATATTTGTCCCAAGGGGGACACACCATCCATTCAAGTTTGGTGAAGTTAGGACCAGTAATAACTAAAATATATTTTTAAGCATCCTTGATATTGGAGATCAAGCTCTGCATCTTAAGCTACCTCTGCGATTCATTCAAATTATAGTTCAAGGTGGAATAACACACCAGGACAAAGTCACACAAATTAGCAGTAAATTATTTGATTATAAAAGATATAATGATAAATAAACTGTAAACTATGTCAAATGATCCAAAAATTTGCAGTTTGGGGTTAAAAAATGAATATCTAAAAAATTCAATTCAGTAAGTAAAAACAAAAGCCCTGCGGGATTTGAACTCAGAATGTACGGATCACAAGCCCAACACCTTAACGACTCAGCTATGGAGTAAGTTACATATTTTCGTCAATAAAATCATTTTAAAAAAAGAAATATGGTTCGTTTACATAGGTTTAATATACCAGTAAAAAATCTTTTTAAACCAGATTTGTCTATCCATTTATTTATTTCAAGCAGTATTACACAATTCCTAATGTTTAACACATTCATTTTAGGTTTTAAAGTGGAATTTTCACATTAACATTTAAAATGTAAACAAATGCTTTGTTTACATAGCAAAGAATTTCAAGCTCTGTATCTTGCTTATAATTCAACGAATTACACTCAACTTTCAGTTGCTTATTAAGAATGCCTTCCTAAAGCATTGTAAATATTAAACTTGGAAAAATAATTTTTGACCAAAATCATGACCATGCCCCTTGAAACATGTGATCTGTTCCAAAAAACATAACCTTATCCAGCATTTGAAACCTTTGGCTCAGATTCAGTATTCAAGCCTGTTAGGTGAATCAGTATCATATAAGACTCACCATCCATGCAAGTTTGGTGAAGTTAGGAAAGTAATAATTAAGATATCATCATCAGAGGGCACCTGTTTCAAAACTTTAACCAGCTCTTAAAACCTTAATTTCATCCAGCATCCCAAACCTTTGGCTCAGATTCAGCATTCAAGCCTGTATGGTGTATCAGTATCATAAGACGCACCATCTGTGCAAGTTTGATAAAGTTAAGACCAATAGTAACTAAGATATAATCATCAAAGGGCACCTGCTCCAAAAACTTTAATCAGCTCTAAAAACCTTAACCTCCTCCCACGCCTAAAATTTAGGACCCAGATTCAGCATCCAAGCCTGTCTGGTGCATCAGTATCATAAGACGCACCATCCATGCAAGTTTGGTGAAGTTAGGAACAGCAGTAACTTAGATATTGCTATCAAAGGGCACCTGCAACAAAAACTTTAACAGGTCGAGACCACTACCTTATATGGAAGGCAATTTTCAACACGTGACGATGTCTTCGTCACGCCCGTTCTCCAATCAAGTGAAAGAGTCCCAAAGCTTAACAGTCTACCACGTGTTTACGATTCAATGGCTACACGTGGTTTTCGTCGGTTTACTGCACAAAATTTAACTCGTCACCGGAAAAACTGTAGAGCTTCTTTATAACTTTATTAGACCGAAATTGAAAGATTATATTCTAAAGACACTGCTCCATGCTCACATTTAATATTGGAGTTGTTTTAGATGATTAACAGTTGCTTTGAATATCGTACAAACGCTTTGACTTTTGCATATACATAAAACACTTTCTGATAATATTGAGGGGTTAAATAATAATTGCACACTTTCTCCTGCTGTCTAAAACAAGGACCTATATACTACCTGCGAAAGCTATGTACACGTATATCACGTGAATAAAACTCAATGTTTTATCGACACGATAGCACTTATACGTCTCTTTGAACAAAGGTATACTAGGGCGATGTATTACAAGTTTATATAAGGCTTCATAAAGCAAATTTTGTAAATGTGAGCATAAAAATGAAAGATTATGCATCATTTTAAATATTTCTTTCACAAATTTCAAAAAAGAATTGAAAATAAGTTTCCAAGGGACAATTCAAGTTGCCTTTAATTTTCAACACAGCTAGGTACTTGTAGTAGCCCACAATGCATTGCGGCTCATTCAGCAGTAGGTAGAGTAAACATATTAGCTAATTTACATGCAAATTTATTCTGACGTCAGAAAATCTAGTGGTCTCGACCTGTTTAACTTGCAACAAAACCTTTAACTTGCTCCAAAAACCTTAACCTCCTCCAGTATCTGAAATTTAGGACTCAGATGCAGCATCCCAGTCTTTCAAGTCCATAAGTAGGTCCAGATACATCATCCATGCAAGTTTGGTGAAGATAGGACAAGTCAGTGGCGGATTTAAGGGGGGGGGGGCGCACCCGGCACGCGCCCCCCCCTAAAATTGTCAAAGTTAACATAAATCACAGTTTCATCTAGAAAATGTAAATACTGGCATGTCTACTTGGTAGACCTCATTTTTACCCTACAAAATCTCTAGAACCCAGGAGCTTCCGGGGGCTTCACCCCCTGGGCCCCCTCCAGGGCTTTGCCCTGGACCCACTGGGGGCCTCAAGGCGGCCCCCAGACCCCTTGCCTACTTTTGGCGCCCCCTCTAACTTCAATTCCTGGATGCGCGCCTGCAAGTAATAATAACTTAGATACTGGACCTGCAACAAAAACTTTAACCAGGTCCCGACGCCAACGCAGAGGCCGAGGGTATAGCATAAGCTCCCCCTGACTTCGTCTCGGTGAGTTAAAAAATTCTCATATGTAAATATATCAAATTATAAAATAAATTAGCAGCTTTTTTGGATTTTTTTTTTACCTTGTATTCATTTGATTTAATTCAAAGGTGCACAGTCACAACTTTAACTGTACATTTCCAAATCTTATTGTTTTCATTTTCAATGCTTATTATGCAAGTTTCTTTGGTAATATCACTGGTCAGCCAAAATGTTAATTGTCAAGCTGTAAGGAAGTGTCACATTCAAATTTGTTAAAAATAGTACCCTTTATTCAGCTAGCATTCAATGTGTAAAAACCCGGGTAGGTAATCAGATTATATACAAATCTCACCGAGACGAGGCATCACCTTTATGAGACCACCTTTATCATTTTATATGAAAATCATAGTTAATGATCTTCAATATTCATGGATACTGTTTTGACAAAATATTGTATATCATATATTATTTATCTTCCATTTAAAGAGGACTTTGCCCTTCATTTAAGCCATTTAAAATTTAAGAATGCTTTGTACCAAGTCTGGTTTAATTTGGCCTAGTGGTTCTAGAGAAGAAACAAAAAATGTGAGAAGTTTACAGCAAACTGACCAACGACGGACAACAGGTGATAAGAAAAGCTCACTTGAACCTTTGGCTAAGATGACCTAATGATGCCTGGAAACCAAAAGATCTATAAGTATCAGCACTAATTATGATGCAAAATGTAAATTGAAATATTTTGTATAAAAAACAACTGCAATGTAGTGTTGATATTGAGAAAAGTAACAGCTCTACATTTGCAGGCAAACAAGTGTCTCTTGCTCCATGCTTTCGATTGACGCCGGTGAAACAATGATATTCAAATCACCAGCACCAAATCATAGGTGATCATATAGAAATACAACACCAAGAAACTTATTTTTTAACAAGAGGCACAGGGGCTACAACACTCACCTGAGCAACAATAGCATTAACTCTGATTAAATTAACTTTATGGTTTCAAATACAAAATTTATGGACAATTAAGAAGATTTAGTAGATCTTATTCAAACATGTTAAAAAAGATTTTAATTTTTTTTTTCACCCCACATTCTAAAGTTATACATTAAGCCTCTCTTGTGATTAGTGATGGAACGATTGTCGCCGACAATCGATTGTCGGTCATTAGAAGCTCTTTGATGATACTAATTGATTATAAAATAAATGTCGCCGACATCGCTAACAAAAAATAAAATTGTCAAACTTTAATTTTATTACCAAATCCAAGTGCAAAGAGCATAAAAGTAGTGATGAATGTTGAAAACATGAAAGGCTCCTGTGTCTTGTTGATACTTTTACCGCCATGATTAAATATGGGGTTAGACTAATACCAGGAAACAGTAATATTGCAAGTAATGGAAAACATAATTAGTCTAGTCAATCTTTAAACGTAATTATAATCATAAATACAAGTCTAACATGAGGATAATTACTTTTACAACTTGCAATTTTAACTAATCAAAACTAATTTTAAGAAATAAATACGTACATGTATTAAATGAAAGGTGGGACTAATATCAGTAAAATACCCATTGCATGGACTTTATAAAAAAAAAATAAATTCCCATTCTGTTTCAATAGTCCTATATTGTTTAAAGTAGACAAAATACTATTTTCCACTTTTTAAAAAAGAAATTTCAATTAAAATTTTTGAATATGTTATAAATGTAAGTAAATGTTTTTTTTATGTAAAAGTCTGACAGAAATCTGAATAAGTTTTAACTTTTCTATATTAATTTTATTGAAGTTCAAAATTTTCGATTATAATCGATTATTAATCGATTATGCCCAGACAATTAATACCGATAATCGATTATGAATTTTTTCCGATTCCCCATCACTACTTGTGATTCAGTTTTTGAAAAAAAAAGCCAGTGGTTCTGGAGAAGAAGTGGAAAATGTAAAAAGTTTTAAGATAGACAGAATGATGAACCATAAACAGAAAGTGATCAGAAAAGCTCATGTGCTCATGAGCTAAATATAAATTAATATGAATGATGAAGTCTAGTGACCTAAAATTAAAGGAAATTAATCAGACCTGTGTTTCTTGCACAACTAATCCAAATATTTTTCCATTCTTTATTGTGTCTGAAAAATGGAAAAGAAGTTCTCCTCCATGCTGGCCAATGATTTTATCATCAAGATGCAGAACAGTTTTGTGGTGTGCAACCTCTGTATTAGTTGTTGACGAAATTTGCTCTGCTGAGACTTCAACATTGATTTTCATTTTTGTACGGGTTCTGCTGCTCAGTGGTGAAGAACTTTGGTTTAGTTTTGGACTGTCTCTTTTGACCTAAAAAAAAAAAAAAGTAATTAGAAATGGAACATTGCTAATTTATTCAGGCAGAAAGATGATAATTGGTTACAAAATCACTAATTATAAGCTAGTTGAAAAAACAATCAAAATATTATTAATTGTATTGTGGTTTAATGTAAATCTATATACTTTGAAAATGCATATATGTGAATTGGTTTTTTTGGTAATATCAAGGGGAGAAAATAAAACGGGGGCAAAATTTTCCCGGTATACAGTACATAAAGATAAAAACCAATCCTACCTCACAAACTGCAATAACTGAGGGATGCTGAGTTCCTTGTTTGGCTTCTTTAAATGGAGAAAACATTGTGTAAGGGAAAATAATATCAGCTGCACCACTTATCTCTAGCTTCATAATCCTTTTTGTTTCTATTTCCAGACATGGTACACTACTGAAATTTAAACCAAACAGTAAATCAAAAAGGTGCAATGCATAATATTTCTTTTTAAATCATTTCTTAAAGGAACATCCTGTGTGAGATGAGTTCGTCCAGTGTGATCAAGACAGCAGTGTGAGGTTATCTTATCTTACACTGTGTATTACCATGCCGCTTTGAAACATAAATTGACAATCATTTGAAAAAACTTGGCACCAGTCATTAAGGTCTTCTGCTTCCAACGGAAGACTTTACTATTATTGTTTTTCTATCTATGCGCAAACTTCGAGCTTCATATCGTGATCATTTCTGAATGGTTTTTGCTCAAATTTTCAGGGCTAATAGACTTAAACACTAGCATAATCAATTCAAAAATTTTACAATTCCTCTTCGATTAACGAGTTATTCCCCTTTGAAAATTTTTTAAGGCCTTTGGTTTTCAGACAAAACCTCTGGGCTATGATAGCAGGGAATGAGAATCCAACAAATTTGAAAAACAGAGACATTGCAGTGCGTGCACAATGGTTTCTGTTTTGGGATTACGTTTTTTATTTAGAAAAAGGTAGTGCTCAATAACGCAAAAAAAGGTTAGGATTTCGATATGGCTGTTCCTATAAAGGTTATTTATTGGGATCTCATAAAGATCGTTACAATGTTATTTGTTTGTGATTTGTGTAGTATAAGTGTGACCTGTTTTCATTTGGCAAGTTAACAAAGTCTTTGTGCATACAAAAAGCAAAAAGTTACCACAGAAAGTATGCTGGTTTATATAGGAGGCTTTAATTCCTAAGAAAATTTTGAATTTTTTTTTTTAATACATGCTTTTTTTTAGGAGTTTAAGTCATTCTTTTTTTTTCTTATAGTGCACAATCCAAAAAAGAGATTCTGAAAACAAAACAGTCTTTTTTTTTTTATAGTAAAACACAAATTACAGATCTTAAAAAATCTATGTATGGCCCCATAAAATTAATTTTTAGATTCTCAACCCCAATGCCCCTATGAAAATGGGGCGCCCCGATGCTTATTTTGAAAAAAAAAATTATGTAAAACAGATTTTGTGGAAAAAAAAATTGTTAATTGGTAATATTTTATGGTAAGACTTTCTTTCTTCTTTTACTTTCGTTTTAAATGCAGTCAATTTTGAAACAACAAATCTCATTGGTTGAAACCTCTCAAATACTACTTCCGGTTAAACGAAACACTTACATGAGGTACTTTACTTTATTCATTTGTATGGTAGGGCTGTTCCCTTTCCAAAACTGTTGTAATTTTTACACAAAAACGAGTCAGTAATATTCTAAGCAAGTGTCTTTAAATTTGCTGCATTTCATGCATTTAAAATCGGTTTTGGTTTATTAAACGTGTTTTCTCTCGTATTTTGTACATTTGTTTGTTACTTTGTTATTTCTCAAAATGGCCCTGCAGATTATATTGATGGCCCATTCATTTTCAAAATGCCAAGATCACGCTTGGGTCAGGGCTCGACATTAACTTTTTTTCCTACTTGTCCATAAGGACAAGTGACCAAGATATTTACTTGGCTGAACTTCAACTTCACTTGTCCAAATTTTTTTCAGTTGATATCTTGAAAACAATTGCTTAAATAAAACCAGAAGTCTCTGTCAAGACTGTAGCTCTACTGGTATGTATCGTATATACTCGCCTATAAGTCGGTCTGCTTATAAGTCGGTTGTAATTTTTGACGTTATTTAGGTGGGATTTGCTATTGACCCGCTTATAAGTCGGTACAACATTTTTGCCAAAATCTGGTGACAATTTCAAGGAAATCCATTGATATTTAAGCCTTGTTTCAATTAATATTTTTCGAAATGACACTGATACTTAATCTTAAAGTATCAAACATAAAGACAATGTCACTTAAAATGCAAATAAAATTATTTACTTAAAATACAGGTATGTATATACTTGCACTTTTTTTATATAATCTAAGAAAACATAAACTATCTTGAATATATAGACAATTTCTTTGATAATCGTCGGAAATACAAATATGATACTACCTTTTAGCCCCAAGAAAAATACCTGTCTCTTTATGACTCGCCTATAAGTCGGACATAGAGTTTTAGACCAATAGTTAACTCCCAAAATACCGACTTATAGGCGAGTATATACGGTACTTATCAAAAACCATTGCACTATTTTATGTATCTTTGTGTAGTCTACTTGCGTGCCAACTTATTTTGAAATCAAACTAGAACTGTAGAACGAGTAGCGTTTTTAAAGAATTAAAGAAAGTAACAATGGCAACATCGTTCATCGAAATTAAAAACCGATGCACTATTATATGTATCTTAGTGTAGTCTACTTGTGTGCCAAGTTATATTGAAATCAGACCAAAACTGTAGAAGAAGTAGCATTTTTAAGGAATTACACAGAAAATTCTATTTTTAGTAACCATGGCAACATTGTTCATCGAAATTAAAAAACCGATGCACTATTGTATGTATCTTAGTGTAGTCTACTTGTGTGCCAACTTATTTTGAAATCAGACCAAAACTGTAGAAGGAGTAGCATTTTTAAGGAATTTCACAGAAAATTTTATTTATAGTAACCATGACATCACCGTTCATCGAAATAAAAAACCGATACACTATTCTATGTATCTTAGTGTAGTCTACTAGTGTGCAAAGTTTTATTGAAATCAGACCAAACTGTGGTAGGAGTAGCGTTTTAAACGAATTTCAAAGAAAATTCTATTTTAGTCACCATGGCAACACCGTTCATCAAAATTAAAAACTCATGCACTATTCTATGTATCTTAGTGTAGTCTACTTGAGTGCCAAGTTATATTGAAATCAGACTAAAATTGTAGGAGGAGTAGCGTTTTGAAAAATTGTTTAAAGACAGACGGACAGACAGACAGACGGACGGACGCCGGACGCATAACTATCGCATAAGCTCTTCTGGTCTCTGACCAGTAGAGCTAAAAATTAAACATGCTTGATTAATTACTGTTTTTATGGATAAATAAGACAAACACTTATAAAACAAAATTTTATCTAGATTTCCTGTCCTAACAATAACATAAATGTTTGCAAGTGAATCTGTAATATCAATCAAATATATTCCAAACCCGCAAATGTTGTAAGATCCACGCCATGCACTCAATCGGAGTTCCTAGGATGACTCGTACCTCATGTTTGAATGGAGCGAAGCGAAGTCAGCCGAGGATTGCCGATTGCCATTATACTAGTATGGCTGCAATTAGTGAACATTGATCCCGATCAAGTGTGAACTTAAATAGTGATTGATATCGGGATCGAAATTCAGGTTTCTGTAATGTTTCCTTTTTTTATTCGATAAACTTAATTAAATCATTTTTTTTAAAATTATCATTACTCGTATTTGAAGACTTCTTTACATAAAAAATCACTTGTACAATCGGACAAGTGCCCAGCAATATTCACTTGTCCGTATTTTTTTTTCTTTGGTACAGGACAAGCGGACAAGTATTAATGTTGAGCCCTGTTGAGTGTACTCAAAGAAAACACCAATCAAATACTAACCTGAGTGCACTCTTTAATCCAAACATACAAGTAAATGCCTCAAACAACGCTTGCAAATGACTTCCACGTATGCTGCACCCATGTTCTCTTCTCTTAAGTATGAGATAAAGTTGGTTACAAAATTCATGTGCCTGACAATGAAATCTACAAAGAAAGCCATCGGAAAGGATGATTTTTACATAATAGTTTTACATTATTTTTAGCAAAATTATTTTAACAAGAGCAATCTTAAAGAGATTTAAATATCCCCACATGGCTCATGTCAAATGAGGCAATGTTGAATTTTCCTAATTAAAAACATAATTATTTGAGGGACTGAGATAAAAGAACATGATGGTAAGGTAGATTGAATACCGATAACTTTCTGAAATGTAAAGCTGCAACATGTATATATAGTACTTATTTTTAACAGATTAAAAAAATTGAAAAATCTGCATAACAAGGAAGGACAACAGGAATGAGACTTTCTATCTTTTTTCCAACCTAGATATCATCAGAAATCACTTGCCAATGGAGAAATTGGAGAACTGGTGTAAAACATAGTTGAACCATAAATCCAAGATGGCGAGTGTCGTCTCATATAGACTTGTAAGTTAATAATGAAATCAATTGATAATGAAATTCAAATATAGTTATTTCATCTTTCTATAGAAAATTTTGGGACTGATAGAAAGAAGAAGATACAGTTACTTTTAATATTTGCCCTAAAATTCAGAAGTTGTTTAAATCTCATGAAATTTCCTTTTTATCCGTTTTTTGTTAAAATTTCATTTTTATCGGATTTAAAAATTTATTGTGTCCTCTAAATGTAAGTCGTAAAAACGCTATTAGAACTTATTGCTAGCACTCTCGAATTGTGCTAGAAACTATGTTAGTCCTTTTCACTGGAATACGTATGATCGTGAAATTCTCCATAGCAACATGAGCAAGGGATTTGTTCTATATACATTTCTATGTAAAACTTGGAATGATACTGTATTTGTATTTTTAATATTTACATTTTTATTTGTTCATATTCCCCGCCCTAACCTCGGGGGTCATGATTTTTACAATTAAATATCTACACTACCCAAGGATGCTTCCACATAAGTTTCAAGTGGTTCGTTTTTAAAAGATTTGTTCAAAATATATTTCTATGTAAAATTTGGATTCAGCAGCTTTATGTCTCCCACATATGATGCAAAGTTTTTATTTTCAATATCCCTATTGTGGCCCTGCCCTATCAAATTTAATATCTACACTACCCAAGGATGCTTCCAGATAAGTTTCAGCTTTTCTGGCCCAGTGGTTCTTGAGAAGAAGATTTTTATCTTTCTATATATTTCTATGTAAAACTTGGATTCCCTTGGCCCTGCCCTACCCCTGGGGGTCATATATTATCTACACTATTCCCAATTGTGGCCCTGCCCTACCCCCGTAACATGATTTTTAATATGATGCATAAGTTTCAGCTTTTCTGGCCCAGTGGTTCTTGAGAAGAAGATTTTTAAAGATCTGTTCTATCATTAATGTAAAACTTGGATAACATTAGCTAGCTTTAATATCTACACTACCCAAGGCCAAGTGGTTCTTGAGAAGAAGATTTTTAAAGATTTGTTCTATATATTTCTAGGTTAAACTTGGATTCCCTATTGTGGCCCCGCCCTACCCCCGGGGGTCATGATTTTTACAATTTAATATCTACACTACCCAAGGATGCTCCCACATAAGTTTCAGCTTTCCTGGCCCAGTGGTTCTTGAGAAGAAGATTTTTAAAGATTTATTCTATATATTTCTAGGTTAAACTTGGATTCCCTATTGTGGCCCCGCCCTACCCCCGGGGGTCATGATTTTTACAATTTAATATCTACACTACCCAAGGATGCTTCCAGACAACTATATATTTCTATGTAAAACTTGGATTCCCTGTTTGGCCCCGCCAAGCTATCTACACTACCCTAGGATGCTTCCATATAAATTTCAGCTTTTCTGGCCCAGTGTTTCTTGAGAAGAAGATTTTTTAATGACCCCACCCTATTTTTGTCTTTTCTTGATTATCTCCCCTTGGAAGGGATCTTGGCCCTTGATTTTACGATTGTTTGGTACAAAAGAAGAAGTTGAAAATACCACTTGATGGAGCTAAAAAGTAACAGCAGCTTTTGTCTTATGATGCAAAGTTATTTTCAATATCATAATAAATAACATGTAGCTAAATTACATCAGGTATATAATGTTTTCCATTGCAAAAGGGTACGATTGCTACAAAACAGTACCAATGGTTCCTGAAAAATTTCACCTCAAAATTGAAATTACATCAGGTATATAATGATTAAGGGTACAGACAAAGACAATCTAATTAAAATTAAATGTTAGATCCGCTTGCATACTCGCTACACTAACATCTAACAACATCCCATTGAGGGTCACGTCAGAGGTCAAATTCGGAACAGCTCTAGACTTATTCGCTTCAACAATATACGATGATTTTGCCAGCGACGATTTGATTGGTTGTTAGAATTTGACCTCTGACATGACCCTCAATGGGATGTGGTTAGATGTTAGTGTAGCTAGTATGAAAGTGGATCTAACATCTAATTTTAATTAGATTGAGACAAAGAGCTATGCTGATGTGTAGCCCACTCTAGATTCACAATTTTAAATTGACTCTCCAGCACAATTCCAGTATACCACTGTGCCTTCCTACTTTTAATTAATCGATTCAGAAATTTAAACCAATCTTTCAGAAATCTGCTTCTGTGTTTTATGATTGCTACAGCGCTAGCTCACCAATCCTTTTAAAGAAAAGCTAGTTTAGATGTCATCAGTGTTGTGTTTGTTATTTACAAATGGCAGCACATGTCGCTCCAGTTGAGCTTGAGAAATGTTCCCACCAGCCGAAAAAAGTTCATCAGATCAAAAAAAAAAAGCCTAGCAACTGATCCTAATTTTTTTTTAGCCTGAAAGCGGAAACAAACCTTTTTTTATGTTAGGCCTTATGAAAATTATGGGGAAATGCACTGCTTGTGACGTCATAATTAGGGTAGACTTTACTTTAGTGGTCCCCAGATCCGCAAGATCCTCGCGCTCATTGGACTATGACCTAAAATTTACATCACTCAACTGAAATTGGTTAAATTTGCACACTATTCGACTGATTAGGGTTAGTCCTGCACCCATCTGAGAGATTAGGGTTATTCCTAGCACAAGTTTTCCACTGATTAGGGTTAGTCTTGCATCCTCCGAGAGATTAGGGTTAGTCCTCGCACATTATTCGACTGATTAGGGTTAGTTTATTTAGCATCTGCCTGGGAGATTTCGTCTGAACATCTTAGTCTTAATTTGCACACCATCGATGAATTAGGGTTAGTAACTCGTTCTTTTACATAAGGCGTAACAAAAAAATATGTTTGTTTACGGTTACCCGACCAATTTTAATTTTAATCGCCGACCCAAACTTTTTTTTCGTCATAAAAATCCGGAATTTACTGGCCAGTCAGTTTAACTTTTACATTCATCTTTGAAATCGAAATTGAAAGTACAGAAACAAAACCAGTGAGTTCAATTTCTACATCAACAAGTTCGTTGCAATTTGCTTACCATTGCGTGGTAGTTGCAAGGGTGTGCAACTAGCATCGCCCAACGCCCGGTGCTACTGTTTTTTGGGGGTAACAAAAATATAATTAAAATTATGCATGTATTTAATTATAAATACATGAGAAACACAAACAGTATTTTCACTCGTTGTTTTCCCTTACCAAAGTAAAATTATTGCAGCAATATTGCTGCTATATTGCGGCAACATTGCGGCAACACATTTTTGTCACCAGAAACAAGCTTTTTGGGTTAGTGAAATATCGCCGCTAGCTGCAACAACTTCTGGTGACATTCTGGCAATACTGCCAGAAAAAATGAAATATCACCGCTAGCTGCAACAACTTCCGGTGACATTCTGGCAATACTGCCACAAAAAAACTTTCTGGCAACATCTAGGATTACCCATGAGCCATTTGTTGAGCATGCTCAGTCATTTACTTCCTCTTTTTAAATAAAGTGGAGGGAATTCAAAGGCAAGCATGTTTTGCTTCATTACTGACTTGTATCAAGTTAATTAGAGTTGTTAATAGTGTACAGTGGGATTAGTCAAGATGAGTAGTAAGACTGCATAGTGTGGAATGACTAGAAAAAAGATTTCAAGCAGAATTATAGGAATGTGTATTCTGTTTCCATATCATCAGACTTGGTGAGTCAAAACCAATATTCTTTTTGAGATGATTGATTCAATGGAGATAAAATTGGAAAAATTATATGTGTTTCAATTAGTGCTTGTGATGCATGCATACTAGACTTGTATGTCTATATATCCTAGAGTAGCAGGAAAAGATGAATTAAAGCAATTTTTATGTTATTTGAAAATTAATGCAGAGTTGCTGGACATTTTCACAGTGGCATATTAATATTGTTTTTATAAACATTTTTTATGCGCCCGTCTCAATAGATCGGGGGTACATATTGTTTTTGTCCTGTCTGTTTGTTTGTAAACTTTAACCTTCACCATTACTTTTGAACCAATGAGAGATAAAGATTTCATATTTGGTATGTCTACTCCACTAATTAAGTTCTTTTAAATGACATCAAGGTCAATGACCTTGTGACCTTGACTGTGACCTATATGCTAAAAATAGCTTTTTCGAATATTGATCATAACTTAAAATTAATGAAAGATAGAGACTTTATATGTAGTATGCATAATTCACTAATTAAGTTTTTTCAAAAGACACCTTAAGGTCAATGACCTTGAGACCTTGGCTGTGACCCATATCCTTAAAATAGATTTTTTTAACCTTGGACATAAATCTTGAGCCATAAAAGATAGAGAACTTGTATTAAGTATGCACCCTTAATTGATTAAGCTCTTTCAAATAACACCAATGTCAATGACCTTGGGACCTTGACTGTGACCATATACTTAAAATAGTTTTTTTGAAATTTCGACATAACTTTTGAGTCATAAAAGATGGAGAATTCATATTTGGTATGCACCCTTCACTAATTAAACTCTTTCAAGTAACACCAAGGTCAATGACAATTTGACCTTTACTGTGACCCATATGCTAAAAATAGCCATTTTGATCCTCTGCCATAAATTTTGAAATATAAGAGATAGAGACTTCATATTTAGTATGCATACTCCACTAATTAAGTTCTTTCAAACGACACCAAGACCTTGTGACCTTGACTGTGACCCATATGCTATAAATAGCTTTTTCAATCTTTATTGCCACCAGGCGCGTAGTGTTTCACAAACATTTCTTGATTTTCATCATGATGATCAACATAATTTTCTATCTGTTCAAAGAATAGCAGAAGTAGCTATTTCTTATTGACCCTGTGGCTTGCTATTGTTTGTTATATTCCTCAGCACAGTTTGTTAATTGTTAGATTGATAGATCATTATTTCTATTAAATACCAATATATATCTAACTTACATACAAAAGACGATATTGCCGCAATATTGCGGCAATAATGCCGGAAGATGTTACCAGAAAATCAATATTTTTGTCATGATTTGCAGCAATATTGCCGCAACCCCTTTCTGGCAATATTGCCGCAAAACTAATTAACATACGAAAAACGATATAGCCGCAATATTGCGGCAATAATGCCGGAAGATGTTGCCAGAAGATCAATATTTTGGTCATGATTTGCAGCAATATTGCCGCAACCCCTTTCTGGCAATATTGCCGCAAAACTAATTTACATACGAAAAACGATATAGCCGCAATATTGCGGCAATGTATTGCCTGAATGTTGCTGCAATATTGCGGCAATAAAGCCAGAAGATGTTGCCAGAAGGTCAATATTTTGGTAAGGGTTGTCATTAAATTTCCAGCTAATGAAAATTTTCCAGGCAGCAAGCTCCTACTGTTCTTAAATCACTTTTATCTCATCCATTTTGCAGTACTACCTGACTTATTTACTTAAAAGACAATCTTTTTTTCCTAAACCGAATTTCCTCCATTACTCTGTTAATGGTAAATACATGCAGATATCTCATTCAATTATATACGACCCCCCCCAATCAACTGATAGCTAAGTGTTATGTGATTAAACTTTGATATATATCATTTATACTTAATGGTTTGAAATCAAAATAAAATGATTTTTGCTTCATTTTAGATAAGCTAGACTAGTGCAATATGTTCAGAAAAGAAAAGATATAATTTCTTAAAATTTTTAAACTTCAACTTTAAAAGGAATGGCTTAGGACCTGGCCTGGCTTTCTCGCTTTTTCAACAATGAACTTTTAAAAAAATCGTTTTTACAATTTTTTGTTGCCCCTATATTTGGACTGGTCACTTTTAACTGCAGACTAGTAACTTTATTGCTGTTACAAACCTGTGGGTTAGTACTTGATTTTTTTTTTAATTGCCCTGAGTCATAAGGCAGATGGCAAGAAAGATAATATTGTCTACCACACATATTACAAGCCTAAACAAAAGTAAGGAACCATACAATGGTGAAACTGTTTTTTAATTCAACCAATTCATGTGAATTTGTGTATAAAAAAATTCAATAAAATAAAATAAAATTCCTACCTACCGACCCTATTTTATTTCAGCATGTAACAGTAAACAAAATTATTTTTTTGTTTGGCCTAAGATAAGAAATTCAGTTGTTTCTGTAATTTTTCCAAGATCATATAATTCAACTTTAAAGACATTTCGTTCGTTTGTTTACATGGAAGAATTGCTAAGTCCGAAAGAATGACACTAAGCATGCGCCGAACGCGCTTCGTTTAAAATTATTCTTTCAAATTGACGATTTTTTCCACTTATCATGCTTATAGACAATATTTATTAATTTCTTTCAGAGATCGAGGTTAAAAACTACATTTAAAAAATGAAGTTTTAAACTAAAAACTTTTAACCGTAGAATTCAATTTTTGGGTCAAAAGGCCAAAAAACCTCGTATTTAGTATTTTTTTGATTGCTCATGCGATCTCATATATACTGAAGTCGCCTTCGGCGACACTACATTTTAGCGCGTTTTTCTGGGGACCGATAAAGTAAAGTCATTCCCACAATACGTTGTATTTCCATTAGTGTACTCTTCAGAATTAGAGGCGCGTTTGGTTGTCTGACTGGGACAGCATGGCATTGCCGATAATACAAAACATGCCAGTATCAATCCAATTTTAAATTGTAAGTGCATTTGTCATTCTAAGTAAGAATAAAAGAACTAAAAGACATATGAAAAAGAGCGAAAATCCTAACTTTATCGTCTATTATTAAAAAATACCACATTTCCGAGGTATGCGTATTGACTTAAAATGTACCATTACGAAAAATAGATAGATACGCAGCGTTTTTTTTCCTTATATAACTGGTGCCGATAAACGGCACCGTTCCCAATGCCAAAAAACGTTAATTTTTCCCAATTCTGTGACTAAAAATTCCCAATTCAACTGTGAAGCAAAAGATTACGACGACATCGTATTTCTTGTTAAATGAAACATTGTACAAGTTAACTGTTTCACTTCCGCTTAAATCGAAAGAAGAGAAAGTCGTAATTTGGCGGGAGCAGTGGTTTAGACAGCGTAGTGTCATATATTTTGAAATATTGAAAGCATGACAATGTGAAAACAAGGGACGTTGATATAAAAACAATAAGTACTTGTTGTTTATTCTTTAAAACAAGCAGTAATAGGTAATTAAGTAGGAAAAACGCAAAATACGTTGCATTTGCATAAATAGAGAAAATTCTCCTTTCTTTTTCTTCAATGTTATTTTTCCCAATTGAACCGGTACCGGACCCTTTCCCAATGGGTGGAAAAAAATCGCTGATACGATCACCAAAAGTTGTAAATCAATATCCTCGTCATCTCTACTCTTCATTTAAATAAAGTCCACAACAATAAAATATTTCATATGCATTTTGTTACGATTTGATCATCGACATTCAACGTGTTGTTTACATGTTTATGTTACGTTTGTCCCAGAAATCCCGCGAGATATGTACATTCTCCGACTTTTTCACAAAAGAGGGCACTAAGAACCATAACTCTTCCATAGTGGAAATAGAACGTATTACCCTTGTGAAAGTCTAAGCACGTAACTATTTATAAATTCTTAGTTTATACCAATCATGCTTATGGGTATTTTTTTGGTAAATAAATGCTTCATTTTCATTTTGGATGGTAATTTTAAAAATCACTCTAAAACAGGGCGAAAAATGACTGAAACAGTCACTGGACCTAGTTCTTTGTCTAGACTGAAATTAGTCCAAATGATTGACAGCAGAAATAAGATTTCAAGAACTCGGAGTGGGTAAAATATGTTTGATATTTACCTGTAAAACCATATCATATGTTTCTCTGGTATCCATGTTGGGATCATTGATATTTTTTCATCATCATTTGGAGCCATCTCCCATAAGCTTTCTGATGACAGCTCTGAAAAGGACGTGTACAAATGGTCAAGGGATCTTAAATGAGCCATTATAGGACTCTTTTGGACGTACTTCTTTAACTCGTTGATTTTTGCAGTCTCCTCGTTGTTCTCGGTTTCCCCGCATTGAATAAGATCAAGAGGTTTCGTATCGGGAACATGCACAATTGAAATATTAAGGTTTTCGATGTGCTTTCTTTCCCATTTACTCAGTCTTAGTGGAAGGGCGAGTGAAGCAATTTTGGTTGTGCACTTTCCGTGAATTGACTGCGAATCCTCAGATTCTGTTGAAATTGTGTCAGTTCCGGAGGACTTGGGAGGAGTTCCATCTTCATCTTGGTCAGAGCTCCCAGGCATACTCTCACTGACAGAACAAAATCGTTTATGATCAGGGGATACAGAAGAGTCTGACAACAGTCGTTTTTTGTTTGCTTCATCATATACTACTTCACTGTCTGCATCGGAGACGTTAACCGTTTTGTCTGAATCGGAATCTGCCATGCTAGCGAGAAGCCGGTAACAGGATGTTTCGCGCCTATGCATGGTTCTCACCGCGATGTTTCGCCCCTCGATGTTTCGCTCCCAGAACATAAAATTTATGCTATTTATTTCGTTCGTTTTGAAAAAAAATAAATAATATATTATAATCTGTTAATATTTATGTAAGTATCGAAATTTTAAATCTTAAATTATTACAAAATAAATGAAATATTAAAAAAGAGGGGAGACGTTTCGCACCTAAATGGGTGCGAATCATACTGGCGCGAACCATCTAAGTGCGAAACAGAATGGGCGCGAAACATCCCGGATTCGAGTAGGACTATGCTTTCATGCTGGCTGATTTAGTGATTATAAACAATGGAAGAATCTTCTGTTTCTGACTCCACTTCACCGTCATTTTCTTTCCCCTCTCGCCTACCACGAAAACGAGGACGTAAACGAGCATCACCTGACTCTCGGAAGTATGAAAGTGACGATTCGTACAACTCCGACGTGAAACACGTTTCGAAATGGGACACTTGTATGTTGGAATCTTTTGGAATATTTTATGATGGACATGAAACACAATTGTCCGAGTTATACGAATCAGCCTTGAAAGTTATGTATACAATTGCTGTACGAGGTATCAAAGATCATGCGGAGTTTTGGAAAAAGCTTCTCGAGGTGAAAGAATTTCTTGTAGAATCTACGAAAAAATGCATGCAAAGTTTTGATATTGATGAAAAGTTTGCTAAAACGGATGGATATGCATTGACACCGGTAGCTGTTATAGAAGTAACCAAAAAATGTATGCAAGTTATTCAAGAAATTAAAGAGGATATGTCGAAAATATCAACATTGGATAATTTTTCCAGGTAGGCCCCCTATACTTTGGTATCTTGTTTGCTCTGTTTCTAACACACACTCTAACGTTACATAGACTTGACTGTATAAATTATTTGGTTCATCAATATATATATCTGAAACAGTGGCATAGCTAGGCTCTAAACAGTCTAGTCGAACCCTCAAATGGGGGTGAACGGAAGTAGGAAATCCATACCTTCAAATGGGGGTAGGCGCATGCGCAGACACTCAAAAAAGTGCTGTTTTCACGTGTGGTCCACAAAATATGCTCGTGAAAAATAATGGATTATTTCGTAGCTCTGTATGTACTCAAATTTGATAGATTAAAGATGTTTATATAAAGAGATTATATTGCGAAAAAGTATATGTTTATTCAACTTTATTGTAAAAATCGAGACTTTTTCTCTCCCAAAGTTAGCGTATTCTGTGCCTTGACCTCCATGTTTGATACATTATAACTAGATATTGTTATGCATAATTTAGTAAAACGGATGTTCCTCAGTATTACAAATTTTTTGTAATGAACATGTTATTTTTAATTATTTTTCGACACTTTCTTCTGTGCCCGTCCAAATTTCCTCTGTCTTGTAAACAAACTTTTGTGTTTCAGAAATGAGGTAAATAAAAACGAAAAGTAATTAATTTTTTTAGAATTGAAAACAGAGGTGTAGACAATTCATTTTTGCATGTTTGTGATTTAAAAAAAAAAAATTAAAAAGAAAAATTATCGTTCTTGAATGCCACTTCCACTTTTGGCCAGGTAAAATTAATCTTTAGATTCTCATCCTAATTTGCAAAAAAATTGGGGCGGGTGGGCGGATTTTATTTTTTATTTTTTATAATTGTTAATTTATATACATATAGGCCTAAGTATCAACAAAACAATGGACGCCCTGTACACATTTTTTTCATTACCTTAATGCATATATGAATAGATTTAATTCTTTTCATATTCTTTTAAATATTTAATGAAAATTTTTGCTTTAAAAGTTAAATATTTATTGTTAATTAACAAATTATCAAGTACACATTATACGGCACACCCTGAACAAAATGAGGTGGGGATACCAATAAATTGTGTATGCGTGACTTCTTATTGTGCAAAATCTATATAAATGTTCAAATAATTATTCTACTGAAAAATCTAGGCCTTCTCTTAAGTCTGTCTACGATGTTGTAGATTTTCTTTTATTTCAAAGCTAAGTCACACAGTTGGAGATCATTATATATAACTTGACCAGGTGTCATTTTCCTCGTCTATTTTTACTTAGTTACAATCTCTCTACATACTTGCTCCTGCCAGTGATGGTATTTATATGTGTTTATGCTATTTTTTCTTCTCTGCCTTCTATATATACTGACAAATTATCTTTTCCTTACACATTTAAACTGCTTTTATTGCCAATTTTTCTCCATTCTTCACATGGCGTTTTTGCTATAAATAGCGACACGCGACTTTTAATACAGACGGGAGATAACTCATAAACTTTGACCCAAATTCTTACTGAATAAAAATACATGAAAATACCCAAAATTCTAAATAAAAAACATCGGGGCGGGGCATTTTGAGAGGGGCGGGCGGGGATGAGAATCTAAAGATTAATTTTATATGACCTTTGCGCATTGCATTAAGGTATTCGATGTATAACAAAGGGATTTTGACTGATTTTAAATATTAATTTTAAACTAGTTAAAAGCACACAGCTAGAAAACGATAAAAGTGAAATAAACCAAATTCACAAGACTGATAACATGCAAGGAGACGGTCATTTTGTACATTTACAGTTTTTGAAGAGTTATCTGCCCTTGATGAAAAGAAGAAAAAATTTGATTTCACAAAATTTCTGCGGTAAATAATTTATTTTATTTTATATTTTAATAAAGATGGAGTTTATGCATATTTTCACCAAGAGATTTCTTTGAAATTCAAATTACTTTTTACAATATCGTATAAAAACATACACTGCCCATAGACTTCAATGTAAAATTCAAAGTGATATTAATTGGACAATAATTAAAATTTTGCAAATTCCTTTGGTGGAGCATTTTCATTTGATAACATCTTCAAATTGCTACCATGATTAAAAATATTGGACCGTTCATTTATTAGGTACAAAATATGGTCGTTATACATTGAATACCTTAAGGCAAGGAAAACCCTCGTTTGGCATGTTTGGGGGTATACCCCCGTTTGAGGGTTCAACTAGACTTGGCTAGGGGTCTGTGAACAGGTGAATAACTTCTTAGATTTAATAAATATAGAGGAATAACTGAAACAACGAGCTACAGTGTAATTGAAGACAGGTATGTATGTCTGTTCATATCTATGGTTTTAGTATAAAGTAAAATTAAGGATGTTGAGTCTCAACTCTGATACCTTGACACCTCAGATATCTTGACATTTTCCGACTGTCCCGTCGATGTCAAGATAACGAAGTTTACCAGTATATGAAATTTCATTCCATTTGATTAAATGTAACTCATGTTAGCCAATTTTAAAAGCAATGTGTATTGTCACCACGGAGCACGGTTAAAAACATTGTAACTTCAAACGAATGTTGAGAAAGTTTCTCAAAATCACTCTTCCTTTTCATGTTATACACTGTTTGTATCTTATTCCTCATTGAATAAAACATATCCATAACACTTGACACCTAGTGTGCTAAAAATAATTTGAATACCTTAAGTAAGATTGTCAATGTTTTCAAATTCATTACAGTGTAAGCACAGGATGAAAATCCACCATTCAGTCGACTGAATGGTGGCTGAATGGCCACTGAATGGTCATTGAAAGGTCACTGAAAAGACCCTTTCCCGTGACCTTTCCGTGATCAAGTTACCATTCAGTCGACTGAATGGCACATACATTTCAGTGACCTTTCCGTGATCATTCAGTTGAATCATTTTATTGAATAATCGGCTTATTTTTTAACGTAAAAATTTTATTTCACTTTTTTTTGGTATAATAGCATTAAATGTATCTAATTCCAAACAAAAAAAATAGTAAAAAAATTAATACAAGAAAAAAAAAATTGCTCCAATGCCCAGAATCGAACCCAGATCTCCTGCGTAGGTGTCCGCAACCTTATCAAATACGCTAAGACTTCTTGTTGACAAATGAAGATTTAAAATCAATTAATTGATTGAAATCGATGGAACAATCTGTTCACTTGTTGTATCGAGGAGCTGCGATGTGTATATATCTTGTATATCTTTTGTATATTCTATGTTAGTTGCCATTTTTGGGATTACTAATTAATTACACATCTCCTATCGGGATTATGACAATTATCAGAGACGGGCACCTGTTACTGTGTCAAAGATTTAAGATCGTTGTAAATTCTCTAGCTAGAAACTTAGTTCTAGAATGATTTAATTTAAAAGCAATATCATTTAGAAAGCTAAAATCTTCTATATATTTTTTTTCTACAAGAGGCATGTATAAACGATTTGTTTATTCTTGTAATTAAAAATTAATTTAAAATAATGTCTTTGAAAAACTAAATATCCTGCAGTTTTGACAATGACATAATTAAGAAACGAAATTGATCAGTAACACTTGCGATGTTCCAGAAATGGTTTAAAAAATATTAATTCTGTCTCATTAATCAGAACTACTTATTTCCATGAAAAAATACACGTATAAGCACTATAGAATGTTATGCATTTATTTAAATTTTGAATATATTTTTTATCACTTGAAGAATTTATTTTCTTAATGTAACTAGAAATATTCAATTAAAAATCATCTTGAATAAGTCTCACATATTTTATTTTTGGGATAGACAAATTAATTACACATCTCCTATAAGGATCATGACAATTATCAGAGACGGGCACCTGTTCCTGTGTCAAAGATTTAAGATCATTGTAAATTCTCTATTTAAAGCTTAGTAGAATTAATGATTTTATTAAAGCAATATCATTAGAAAGCTAAAATCTCCTATTTATTTTTTTTACAAGAGGAATGTATAAACAATTTTGATCACGATAAGTAAAAAAAAAACACAAGTAAGATTGAATAATAAATATTTAAAATATGGCTTCCTTGTTTAGGAAAAATATCTGATTATAAAATAATACGCTAGTGAAAAAATTACAAAATTGCAATTCAAATATCACTGAAAGGTGGCGGAAAGGTCACTTAAAGACGATTTTGAAAGGTATTAAAGTCGACGGAATGGTCACTAAAGATCGACGGAAAGGTCATAAAGTTAATGGAAAGGTCACTGAAAGACGACGGAAAGGTCACTGAAAGTTGATGGCAAGGTCACTGAAAGTTGATGGAAAGGCCACTGAAAGTTGACTTCTGTTTCCGCTGAATGGTGACTGAACATTTGGGGTTAATATGACTAAAGGCAACTGAAAGGTCACTGAAATGTATGTGCCATTCAGTAGCTGAATGGCCACTGAAAAGTTACTGAAAGCCGCCTTTCAGTTTTAATTGAAAGGTCTTGTTTCTTCCTGTGAACTCTGCTTTCATAAGTTCCGCAACAGTGAAGTGCACATCATGTTTCATGACGGTCGAAACTCTTTTAACAAGATTTTGAATTAATATTAAAGCTGGGACTATATATCGAGATATCGATATAGCGTGACATATGTGGTCGATATACATGTCGATACATTTGAAAAAATATCGAAATACTGCCAAAATAATCTGACTTCTGTTTTACTTTGTTTATTTAACATTTGGGGTTAATATATAAAATAAAGAAGTTAAATATAAATTTAGATATGAAATAAAATAATGATTAACACCACTTGTCTGAGTAAAATATTTTTGTTTTACAGCATATATAAATAACTATTTTGAATAAAATATTCTCATTTGTAAAGAAATAATAATTTGTTAATTTCAATGCAAAAATAATATTTTATAAGCAAATATTTACAGATGAACCTATTGAAGAGAAAATACGTTCAATTCTGTGTGAATTTCATTTGGGAGTCAGAGGTCATAGCGCGATCGGATCACAGAGCGATGTGATATTCTGACCAAACAACTTCTAGGTCATTGTGCGTCACTACATAGCAATACGTTGGCCCGTTCGAGTAATAAATACAATTTAACTCGAAATGTATTTGTTTCAAATGTCAATATAAGTAATAAACAACAATGTTAAAAAGTTCACCGGAAAATGAACTTTTAGTTGCAGGGATTTATCTAGCTATTTTGTTTTACTACCATTTTATATGTAAAGGGGAAAAATTGAGAGCCGCAGCTTTGATCTGAGCGCCAGAGGCGCGAGTATTCTAGGGGGGTGGAAGATTGATAACTTTAAAACACCTTCATTCATGGTGTGATTTACCTGGATTGGTGAACCGTGGGGCACACATTTTTTTACCGTAGACACCTGTACTAACCGCAATGAAATTCACCCCGTGGGGGTGTGCAGTGGATACATAAACCGTGTTGACTGTACTGTACAGTAGCTTTTCTTACACTTTAGTATCAAGTTTATTGCAACGGAATATATACATTATTGATACTTAAACCTTGATTTTTATTTCTAGGCACATGTTCAACATTTGGTACACAGGGATCTGGGAGTTCATTGAGTATTACCATGACTTGATAAAAGAATTGAGTGCTAAGAGAAGATATGGGGTGGAAGGTGAATTTCGTGACCTTGTAACATTCTTCAGCAAGATATTCTTGTTAAATCCTATGTGAGTTTATGTAATGCTTACAAATTTATTTTTTTTTTATCTCACCTGATCCTCATAGAAATTTTCCCTTTAAAATTAGGGATAAAACATTTATGCAATATTTTGCCAATCAATTTTTTTGAGCAGGGTGTATAAAATTTCACAATAGGGAATCCAAGTTTTACATAGAAATATACAGAACAAATATTTTAAAATCGTCTTGTCGAGAACCACTGGGCCAGGAAAGCTGAAACTAATGTAGAAGCATCTTTGGGTAGTGTCAATATTAAATTGTTAAAATCATGACCCCCAAGGGGTAGGATGGGGCCACAATAGGGAATCCAAGTTTTCCATAGAAATATCTAGAACAAATATTTTAAAATCTTCTTCTCAAAACCACTTGGCCTGGAAAACTGAAATTTAATATGTGGAAGCATCCTGGGGTTGTGTAGATTCTAAAGTTTTAAAATCATAAAACGGAAGGGGGTAGTGGGGCATGATAGGTATAGCAAGAGGGGGAATCTTGTAAAGAACTACATCACCCAAGTTCAGGTCTCGACATTAACGCTTGTCCACTTGTCCGGTACCAATGAAAAATAAATTCGGACAATTGAATATTACTGGGCACTTGTCCAATTGGACAAGTGCATTTTAATGTAAAGGGGTCTCTAAATATTAAAAGCACTGACTGTTGAAGTCTCAAGACAGAAGGTGTACATAAAATCTTAACTTTGATCCTGATATATATATATCACTATATTAATATTGAGTTCACATTCGATCGGGATCGAAGTTCACTAGTTGCATACTACTGAAAAATCATGGAAGATAGGAATCAAAGTGTGAATATTGTTTGATGTTGACAGGTTCACGAGGACATTTATGTTATTGTCAGGACAGAAAGCTTAGGCCATAATATTAAATATATTGCTAGATTCTCATCCAAATTTTTTTTAAAATGGAGGTGGGCGGGCGGCTTTTATTTTATATTTTTTATTTTTTCAATATTGCAGAATTTTTATTTACCAGATCAATCGGTGTAATTTTATTTACTTGAAAAAAAGTCGTTATAAAGGTTCAATTATCTCATACTTCACATCATCACCAATCTTTTTCAACCAATGAACCTTGTTTGAAATATATACGTATATACTGTATACAGGGTTATTTTCACCCCGTCTTATTTTCGCCCTTTCACACTTGCAAACAATTTTGCCCCGTTTTGAATTCGTCCAATCATGGTTTTGTTTAAGAAATTTTACTGTAACTGTATTCTTTGAATTCGCCCTGTTTTAAATTCGCCTAAAAGATCGTAGGGCGAAAGGGGCGAAAATAAAACGGGGGCGAAAATTTCCCTGTATACAGTATATCAATCTTTTCAGCTGTCAAAATCATGTCTACTTTCGTGGGATTTAAAACGAAAGTAGAATGGTATATGAATACCTATCCCCATCAGAATTAAGACGAGGAAAAACAGAAATAAAAAAAATCGAGGCGGGGGTATAAAATCGAGGCGGGGATATAAAATCGGGGCAGGAGGGGATGAGAATCTAGGAATATTTTTATTATGGCCTTAAATTTTCGTTTTATGTGTATATTGAATTTATCAATAACATATATATCTATAGAATCAATCAAGTGCATGACGTGTAAATAAATGGACTTAATTTTAATTTCCAAGTTGAAACTATTAAACTTTATCGAAAATTTTCGGACAAGTGAAGTCGAAATTCGGACAAGTAAATGTCTTGGTCACTTGTCGGAATGGACAAGTAGGAAAAAAATGTAATGTCGAGCCCTGAAGTTACTCAGGTGAGCAATGTGGCCCATGGGCCTCTTGTTTAAATACCATCCGATTTTGTTATCATTGCCGTCTGATAATGTTTTATCAGACTGGTAATTATTATTATCGGACTGCTACAGGTAAATTTTTATACTGCAAGAACAAAGGCACAATGTCACAGCAATGTTTGAAAATGTACATATATTAATAATTATGAAAAAATCTTGAGAATCTTTCCAAGAACTGAAAAGTCATGATTAGTCTCATTGATACAAATGCAATAGCTAGTATGGACTCAGGTAGATTCAAGGTTGAACCGTCAGTGGCAGAAATGTGTTTAAAACGTGTAAAAAAAAAAAGTTTTACTTGGGAATACCTATAATCCCTATTAAACACCCCTTGTGAAAAAACTTTTGAATAAAAAAATAAATACATGGAACCACTAAAATAATGTCTAACGTTATTAAAGTGAAGATTATCCACCCAAATTATGCCACATTATTCATTTTCCACTGAGATATTGGGTAATAGACAAGTTTCATTTTTATTCTCTTATTTCTTGAATATTGAAAAAGATCTTTGGGGCACTTATAGGGACAGGTGCGGTTATAGATAGTTTTCGATAGGCCAGTTTTTAGCGAGAGTTATTTCCCGTTGGCCGCCATACTGGAGGTCCAGATGCTCAATTTCCTTCACTATTCAACCAATTCAAAATTTTTATATGTACTAGTTTGAATTAAAAATCATAATGATTATTTTTCTGAAGTATGTAAATTTTTGGAAGCCCCCTTTATTATAAAAAAATTATTTGATAAAGGTTTTCCACCAAATATTTCTACTATATTTTCTTAAACTTGGTAAGACAAAGAGGGCAAATCACTGAGTCAACATCCAATATGGCTGCTGAGACTATGATATATGTGCTGATATGAGATAATGACTCAGTGAGTGCTGAGACTATAACCTATGTGTTGATATGAGATAATAACTCAGTGAGTGCTGAGACTATGACCTCTGTGTTGATATGAGATAATAACTCAGTGAGTGCTGAGACTATGACCTATGTGTTGATATGAGATAATGACTCAGTGAGTGCTGTGACTATGACCTATGTGTTGATATGAGATAATGACTCAGTGAGTGCTGAGACTATGACCTATGTGTTGATATGAGATAATGACTCAGTGAGTGCTGAGACTATGACCTATGTGTTGATATGAGATAATAACTCAGTGAGTGCTGAGACTATGACCTCTGTGTTGATATGAGATAATAACTCAGTGAGTGCTGAGACTATGACCTATGTGTTGATATGAGATAATGACTCAGTGAGTGTTATGACTATGACCTATGTGTTGATATGAGATAATGACTCAGTGAGTACTGTGACTATGACCTATGTGTTGATAGGAGATAATGACTCAGTGAGTGCTGTGACAATGACCTATGTGTTGATATGAGATAATGACTCAGTGAGTGCTGTGACTATGACCTATGTGTTGATATGAGATAATGACTCAGTGAGTGCTGTGACTATGACCTATGTGTTGATATGAGATAATGATTTAGGTGAGTGCTGTGACTATGACCTATGTGTTGATATGAGATAATGACTCAGTGAGTGCTGTGACTATGACCTATGTGTTGATATGAGATAATGACTCAGTGAGTGTTATGACTATGACCTATGTGTTGATATGAGATAATGACTCAGTGAGTGTTGTGACTATGACCTATGTGTTGATATGAGATAATGACTCAGTGAGTGCTGTGACTATGACCAATGTGTTGATATGAGATAATGACTCAGTGAGTGCTGTGACTATGACCAATGTGTTGATATGAGATAATGACTCAGTGAGTGCTGTGACTATGACCTATGTGTTGATATGAGATAATGACTCAGTGAGTGCTGTGACTATGTGTTGATATGAGATAATGACTCAGTGAGTGCTGTGACTATGACCAATGTGTTGATATGAGATAATGACTCAGTGAATGCTGTGATTATGACCTATGTGTTGATATGAGATAATTACTCAGTGAGTGCTGAGACTTTGACCTATGTGTTGATATGAGATAATGATTTAGGTGAGTGCTGTGACTATGACCTATGTGTTGATATGAGATAATAACTCAGTGAGTGCTGTGACTATGACCTATGTGTTGATATGAGATAATAACTCAGTGAGTGCTGTGACTATGACCTATGTGTTGATATGAGATAATGACTCAGTTTGAGCTGTGACTATGACCTATGTGTTGATATTATACAAATATGGACTCAATGTAGGTCAATATGCATTTATAATGACCCAGGATGACAGATATTGACCGAAGATACATGTAGTATATCGACCGAGGGCAACATCCAATATGGCAGTCAACGGGAGGTAACTTTCGCTAAATTTAGGCCTATGGAAAACTATCTACATATAGAAATTGAAAATCAGTAATTAAAGATCAGTTAGGCCATAAATGACTCAGGTGAATGCTGAGACAATGACCAATGTGTTGATATGAGATAATGACTCAGTGAGTGCTGTGACTATGACCTATGTGTTGATATGAGATAATGATTTAGGTGAGTGCTGTGACTATGACCTATGTGTTGATATGAGATAATGACTCAGTGAGTGCTGTGACTATGACCTATGTGTTGATATGAGATAATGACTCAGTGAGTGCTGTGACTATAACCAATGTGTTGATATGAGATAATAACTCAGTGAGTGCTGTGACTCTGACCAATGTGTTGATATGAGATAATGACTCAGTGAGTGCTGTGACTATGACCTATGTGTTGATATGAGATAATTACTCAGTGAGTGCTGAGACTTTGACCTATGTGTTGATATGAGATAATGATTTAGGTGAGTGCTGTGACTTTGACCTATGTGTTGATATGAGATAATGATTCAGTGAGTGCTGTGACTGTGACCTATGTGTTGATATGAGATAATGATTTAGGTGAGTGCTGTGACTATGACCTATGTGTTGATATGAGATAATAACTCAGTGAGTGCTGTGACTATGACCTATGTGTTGATATGAGATAATGACTCAGTGAGTGCTGTGACTATGACCTATGTGTTGATATGAGATAATGATTCAGTGAGTGCTGTGACTTTGACCTATGTGTTGATATGAGATAATGACTCAGTGAGTGCTGTGACAATGACCTATGTGTTGATATGAGATAATGACTCAGTGAGTGCTGTGACAATGACCTATGTGTTGATATGAGATAATGACTCAGTGAGTGCTGTGACTTTGACCTATGTGTTGATATGAGATAATGATTCAGTGAGTGCTGTGACTATGACGTATGTGTTGATATGAGATAATTACTCAGTGAGTGCTGTGACTATGACCTATGTGTTGATATGAGATAATAACTCAGTGAGTGCTGTGACAATGACCTATGTGTTGATATGACATAATGACTCAGTGAGTGCTGTGACTATGACCTATGTGTTGATATGAGATAATAACTCACTGAGTGCTGTGACTATGACCTATGTGTTGATATGAGATAATGATTCAGTGCTGTGACTTTGACCTATGTGTTGATATGAGGTAATGACTCAGTGAGTGCTGTGACAATGACCTATGTGTTGATATGAGATAATGACTCAGTGAGTGCTGTGACAATGACCTATGTGTTGATATGAGATAATGACTCAGTGAGTGCTGTGACTTTGACCTATGTGTTTATATGAGATAATGATTCAGTGAGTGCTGTGACAATGACCTATGTCTTGATATGAGATAATGACTCAGTGAGTGCTGTGACTTTGACCTATGTGTTGATATGAGATAATGATTCAGTGAGTGCTGTGACTTTGACCTATGTGTTGATATGAGGTAATGACTCAGTGAGTGCTGTGACTATGACCTATGTGTTGATATGAGATAATGACTCAGTGAGTGCTGTGACTATGACGTATGTGTTGATATGAGATAATGACTCAGTGAGTGCTGTGACTATGACCTATGTGTTGATATGAGATAATGACTCAGTGAGTGCTGTGACTTTGACCTATGTGTTGATATGAGATAATGATTTAGGTGAGTGCTGTGACTATGACCTATGTGTTAATATGAGATAATGACTCAGTGAGTGCTGTGACAATGACCTATGTGTTGATATGAGATAATGACTCAGTGAGTGCTATGACTATAACCAATGTGTTGATATGAGATAATAACTCAGTGAGTGCTGTGACTATGACCTATGTGTTGATATGAGATAACGATTCAGTGCTGTGACTTTGACCTATGTGTTGATATGAGATAAGGACTCAGTGTGTGTTGTGACTATGACGTATGTGTTGATATGAGATAATGACTCGGTGAGTGCTGTGACTATGACCTATGTGTTGATATGAGATAATGATTCAGTGCTGTGACTTTGACCTATGTGTTGATATGAGGTAATGACTCAGTGAGTGCTGTGACAATGACCTATGTGTTGATATGAGATAATTACTCAGTGAGTGCTGTGACTATGACCTATGTGTTGATATGAGATAATTACTCAGTGAGTGCTGTGACAATGACCTATGTGTTGATATGAGATAATTACTCAGTGAGTGCTGAGACTTTGACCTATGTGTTGATATGAGATAATGACTCAGTGAGTGCTGTGACTATGACCTATGTGTTGATATGAGATAATGAAAATCTAATTTTGCAGTACAGGAGATGGTAGACCAAAAATGCAAATGAGGCTTAATGGTTTCGACGTAACTAGTGTTCCAGATCTGATATACAGATTGCAGGGAACAGAGGGATCACTTATGACAGTTGCTATAGGAGAGGTTGGTACATGTATAATGTTCTAAGGTTAAGGTTCACTTCTTTTGAGTAGTTTTCTTTTTAAGTATTTTTTTGTTAAAAACATGCTAGTTTTAATGTACATTTTACGTGTCAAACATTTTTGAACATACGTTTATTTTTTACACCTATCTTATACATTGATATTTAATAAAAACAATAGGATTTGTAAGTACATGAGAACTTAAATTACACCTTTACTTAATTACTAAATGTTCGAATAAGAATCTAATAACAGTCACGAAAATTCAAATATTGATTTATATTTGCATATCCACTGCTCTCTCCCACTATGAACCTTCGGGCTTCAACTGCGTTCATAGCACTATAGACGCAACTGCTCCTGCTATGAGTGCAATTGTTCTATCACATTTGTGTAGAGCAAGCTCTCCTACAATTATACTGTGTTGAGGAGTATATATATATGAAATGTTTGGTAAAAGGAATAGAACTATATATATATCTATTCCTTTTACCGAACATCTCATATATATATATACTCCTCAACACAGTATAAATCATTTGAGCTGAAATCGTTCTTGAGAAAGAATGGTTGCTTTTTTCTGAATGTTCATCACCCAAGTGTGAAGAGTTATCATTCTTTGTACAAACATGCAAAAAAATGATAAGAAAAAATTAAAATATTCTATATCATTATAAAAACATTCACATTCAATGTTCACTGAATAACATTGTTTATTTTTTGAATGGTATGAATTTGTTTCAGCTCTAGAGTTTGGTGTGGGAGTTGAAGGCATCTCTTATCATTTTTTCTATAATCTCCTGGGAATTTGGCACAAGAATTAAAGACCTTTCTTCTTTTATTCTCTTAATTGCTTCTTAATTTATTGTTTGTCAAAGCACTTTATTACTGGAAAACCAGCTCTTAAAAGACTTTAATTTCAAAATGAATTTGACATATTATAAAGAATATCAAGATTAGTTTGATTTTGTATAATATGATTTTTTTTTAACAATCAGTTTGCAAAGTGTCTTGACACATAATTGCAATGTATTTTTTTAATGCCGAAAAAAAATGTTACAATGGAATTACATACATGTACTATGTATTAGTATTGATAGTTCATTTGATTCTACCTTTGAAACATAATGAGCTATTTTATTTCAATGCAAATTTTGTAAGTGAATTGTGAACACCTACATGCTCTAGATCCATAAAGTATTTGTGAATTAGCACCTTCTCTGAAAAACTGGTCATGGTAGCCTAGTGGTAGAGCGTTTGCTTCGTGATTGGGAGGCCTGGGTTCGATTCTCGTTCGCGTCGCCGTGTCATACCTAAGACGTAAACAAAGGTAGTGACTGTTCCTTCGCCAAGCGCTTGGCACTAGAAGTGAAAGTCACGGGTCTTTCGGATATGACCTTAAAAACGTAGGTCCCGTGTCATGGTAGGTGCTGGCATGATAAAGAACCCTCACTGCTCAATGGCCCTGAGTGCCGAGTATAGGTCTAAATTTGAAGCCCTTCACCGGCATATGGTGATGTCTCCATATGAGTGAAAAATTCTCAAGAGGGACGTTAAACAATATACAATCAATCAATCAACCTTCTCTGAAAAAAGCCAGCAAGGGGTATTTGTCCCTATTGGAAAGTTCTAGTTCAATTTGATGAATGTAATGCCACTCTGCACTTTCTATTTTACTTCTTGATCTGACACTTGTTTTGATATCTCCCAGTGAAAAACATTAACTTTGCCATTATAATCTTATGGGAGGTAGGGGTATCATTTAGTGAGCTCAGTGCTCCCAGTAACAGTTTTTAATGGATTTACCTCATTTAAGAAACTGTTTATACATAGAGCATGCTCATGCATATAAAATTAACCAAGAGATATATACCCTGTATGCAGATAATGAAGGTTTATTGCTGCAAAAGTATAGGAAGTTGTCAATTGAAAAGTTAAAGTAATAAAATTTCTAATTTTATTTGAAGTTGTCAATTGAAAAGTTAAAGTAATCAAATTTCTAATTTTATTTGTTGTTTACAATTTTAAAAAGGTTATCAACATAAAACTACATACTGTGTTTTGATAATTGATTGAGAACGATGGTTTTCTCCCATGAAACTATTAATTCTTGACTGGTCAACATTGTCACGTGATATTAAAACTAATCCATGGCACCTGATCCCACCTCTGAAGCTTTGGGGTCTGTGTTTGCTCTGCTCTTAACCCATTTCCTTCTGCAGCCAATTCAGCTGGGCTTATCAGTAATACGGAGGATAACAGAGCTGCTGCTGAGAATGCTAAGTCAATTAGCACCATGCTTACATTCTGCCGGATAATTAGATAACTACTGTCTAGAGACATAATAAAGTATATATTTTCTAAAAGCTCTTAAAATTCTGCATCTTACAGTATAATTTTCAGAATGCAGAAGCAATATTATCCTCAATAATACTTTGAGTAAATAGAAGAAAATTTGTAAACACAATTTTTTGTTTTAAATTATTTTTATTTACATGCATTTTACTCAAATAAAGTGAATGTAAACAGCACATTTTTTTTGCATAAATTCATAAAACAAATATTTCTGCTTCAAATACAGTTCACAGAATAAAAATATCTTGAAAAATAAAAAAGTTATTACATTTCTTGAAAATGGAGTATTTCTTGACATAAACATCATTTATTTGCTTTGCTTCAAATTTACTATAGCCAAGAAAAAAATTATTTTAACAACAAATTTTAACTATAACAATCTGTTTTTAAAGTATTTATATTGTAAGATAATGAATAAAAAGAAATATCTATTTTAAAAAGTTCAAACTTCAATGTACTTACATAAAATTTATGAAAAAAAAACCAACACTAAGTCCTCAGAATTATCCATTTGAACAAACATTCCTAAGCACAATTCACTTGTTCAACATTCTCATAATATGTTTTGAGCTGCACTCTAAGTGCACTGGAACACCACACTGCTGGCACCCAAATTTTGTTACTCCTTTTCTCTGTCCCTGCGGCCCAGAAAGTGAACACTCACGACACACCTTGTTCTTTGGGAACATTTTCACAATGTCGTGGGCAGTAGCCCTGCCCCCACAGTCAACTTTTGGTGGCTCCCTTCTAGCCCTGGTGTCACCAATCAGATCTTCCACCAGTTCCTCGATAAAGTCCTGGAATCCTGGCCACCTCTCCCTCGCGGCGTGGGTGTGAATGTCCTTGGCGACAATGTATGCGTTATGGGCCGATGCCATCATCAAGTAAAAAAATTATGCGGCGCCACCATTTCTTTGACCTGTGGTTTAGCTGGTAATACCCCACCATTTGATCACAGAGATCCACTCCTTTCATGTTCTTTTGATAATCAGCCAGCATGAGTGGGACTTGAACGACACGATTCTCAGCTGCTCTCCTTGAAACTTGACCACGGTGGGTTGGATCATGGAAGTTGGAAAGTACCGTCACTGGTTTAGTGTCCTGCCATACACAGTAAGTCAGGTTGTCTTTCTGGGCAACCTTGAATTCATGTTTCTGAAGACCAACTTTGCTTGGTAGTAGGTGTTTAGGAAGACCTTTTCTATTCACACGTACCGTTCCACAAGCCATGATTCCCCTGATGTGAAGGTCGTTCAGAAGTTCCGGACTTGTGTAAAAATTGTCCATGTAGACACACAAGTTGGATCCAAAATAATGATGGCACAGGTCCATTACAACTCTATGAGTAAGTCCTTTTTCTTGGTTATTTTCTTTCCCTGTGTATACTTGAAACTTGCTCAAGTATCCGGTATCGCTTTCAGCAAGTGCCCAGACTTTCACTCCCCATTTCACTGGCTTTGCGGGTAGGTACTGCCGAAATGATAATCTGCCCTTAAATTTGATCATACTTTCATCTACTGTCGCATTCCCATAGGGCACATACATTTCTTCAAACTTTTTATTTAGAAAGTCCAATAAATAACGGATCTTCCACAATTTGTCGGGAGTGTCTGGCTGAATTTCGTTATTCTGTACATGGAGGTATCTCCAGATCAAAAAAAATCTGTCCCTGGACATCACTCTGTTAAAATTTGTTACAAACATCCATTTGTTTTGCCTCCAGTAGTCAGCTTTGTCTGGCAATCTGAGGATGCCCATAGCAAAACATAGGGCTAAAAACGCCTTGATGTCTGACTTGTCAACGGGCGTCCATTTTGGAGCAAACGGAGGGGGTGGGGTTTTCTCGCGCTCTTGTTGTGCATAATTGTTCGTTTCTTGAACTAACCTATCTAGAAGTTCGTTAGTCCAAAATAACTCGAAGTACTGGCCGGCTGACGCCTCTTCCGGATGTTCAACTGTTGCGCCACCGATTTTTCTGAAGACATTTCCAATACGTGGGTGAAAATTTTCAGATGTCCACTCGCTCTGAAAGCCTAAAAAATCGGCTTCGTCATTGCTGTCCTCCTGAAAAATGTTGTGTATCCAATCATCAACATCTCCACGAATGATCTCTCTTTCTACATCTGCAATATTCTCCTCTTGTTCCTCATAATCTCCCTCAATATCACTACCATCGCTCAGTCCTTCTTCTCTGTCCGCCATTTTGAAACTACGATCGCGTCAGTGACTCGGATTTCCTTCGTTTTAACCAAAATTTCCCCCAAAAAAGAGGTATCTAGTTTCATTTTTAATGCGCATGAGCAAGGGAAATTCCCACTGTCTAAATCATGCAAACGTTTTATTCATACGGGGCTTTTACATAGTAATTCAAGGGCCTCTAAGACGCTTGTATGAAAACAACGACTGTAGTGGTACGCCGAAGATAGCACACATGACGATAACAGTCGTACCACGAAGGAAATGGGTTAATTTGTATTGTTTTATGGACTTTGAGATTGATTGATTGATTGTATACTGTTTAACGTCCCTCTCCAGAATATTTCACTGATATGGAGACGTCACCATTGCCGGTGAAGGGCTGCAAATTTGGGCCTATGCTCGGCACTCAGGGCCATTGAGCAGGGAGGGATCTTTATTGTACCACATCTGCTGTGACACGGGACCTCGGTTTATA